AGGACGCGGTAATGCTTGCCGCGCGGCGGAAGTCCGCGCGACAGCCAATCAATATGTTGTTTTTCCGTAAGAGCTAGAAGATTATTACGGAAAGTAGCATATTGATTGGCTGTCGCGTGAACTTCCGCCACGTGGCAAGCATTACCGTGTCCTGTGTGCAGGAGCCATTAAGCAATTGGAAGCTGTGATTAAGCTGGTGGCACATAGAAAAACTTAAGCAGTAAGACGTAAGCGGTAAGCAAATTGACCAATCACAGTTATTGATTCTTCTTACGGTTCAAAAATCAACGACTGTTATTGGTCAATTTGCTTACTTCTTAGGGCTATCGCACACAATTGACATAACTGCATATGCATAGCATAAGATCGTATGGACCAATGAGCATCGAATATTAAGCATCGAACACCAATATGGCGACTTAATACTCGATGCTCATTGGTACATACGGTCTTATGCTATGCATATGCAGTTATGTCAATTTGTGTGCGATAGCCCTTACTGCTTAAGTTTTTCTGTGTGCCACGGCCCTTAACCGTAACCTCAATTGTAACGAAGCCTTTAGTGTAATATAGGCTTTAGTTTTGCGTTATCAACGCGAAGCGAGAGATGTAAGATGAAAACGGCTACAATCAGCTACAATCGGAAAATGGCGTCGTCAAGTACCCAACGTTGGATGGTGGACTCTGGAATTCTACGTAAAAAGAATAACGACGAGCAACCGCAGGAGCTATTGGTCTTCGGATATAGCTGCAAATTGTTTCGCGATGATGACAAGGCGAAAATGATTGATCAGGGAAAGCATTTGATACCATGGATGGGCGATAACACGTTGAAGATAGACAGGTCCGTTTCCATAACCTAGACCAATTTCTCATATAGAATATTTGTTCTTGTGCGATAAGAAACAAAAAAAACGCATCGTAAATATGTTACGTTTTTGGCAAACGATCAACTCAGATGAAAATGATATTCCGAAAGCAAAAAAATCTATCGAAATGAGTCAAGTGTTGCGTTTGAAAGGAGATAGAATTCGTAGACCCAAGGGCCTCCTTCTTCATCGTTAATGTTTGGATAAGCAAACTGGAGACTGTTTAAGGCTTCCGCAGGTGTCTCGGCTGTATCGAACGTGCCGAACGTGTGGCAGCGCGATATTGCGCTCTGCACGGTCGCAGAATCAGATGCTCTCACGATGCTTATGGTGCTTATGGCTGACCGTCTGAGCAGCAGCAAGGTGAGACACGGCGTAGAGAAAGTGGCAGCTGACGGTTGTAGGTATTACGACCGCTCAGCATGGTATGTATTAGCATATTAGACTCTGTCCCAGGAGCCACTTAGGACATTCTTACAAGTTCGCAAGTATGCAACACAGATCTGTTGATACAGTGATACGTGTATAAATGTCCAGACTTATCTATATCTCGACAATACTGGGTCATATTCAAGCCTCGATATGCAGATTTCTTACATACAATACGCAAAATCATTCCAAGCATATGTACATTAAAGTGCTTTAAGTATATGAGAATGTAAAAAAAATATAAATTACTACTAGAGAAAATTGTATGCAAGATGTGTCATCGGTTGCATAAGTTTGAAATGTTCTTAAGTTATTGTCGCAAATATATGAATATATTATGATATATAATATCAAAGAGCAGTTATATAAGAAAAAAGTGTTATTAAACTGAACCCATCAACGAATGTAGAAATATTGCGCAGCGTCCTCCACAGCTCCGTTTTATTTCAGAGAGATCGCTTTCATGGGACTCACTTCTTGATTTAGATTTCCAGATGCAGTGGCCAACTGTACATCAACAGTTAAAAGAATATCGTCTTCTTCCTCTAATAGATTTATTGTATGTGTATAGATACGATGGACGGGGCGCACTGGGTGACCTACGGGTGTACGAGCCACCGACAGGTGGTTTTGATCAACGGACCATACTCACCGAGGAGGAGCTGAAAATAGAACAACTCTGTGACGAGGAGCGGTATCGGTCTCTTTACAACAATGATGAGGACGAATCCATCTATCATGGTAATTACATGTTATGAAATTTTAGTCAATAGTTATAAGTAGAGTCAAAATTTATATATATATATATATATATATATATATATATATATATATACATACATATGTAAATTACAAATATGTGTTTATAACAGAAGAAGAAATGAGGAGGCTGCATCAAGCGCTAGACTCTGAATCGTATCATCAAGTGGGATTTAATTATAATGAGGACGAGAATGGTCACAAAGCTCCGTGTGAAGACTCGCAAAGTCCGAAACAGTCGGAGGGTTCGCAGGAAGAGGATCAAGCATTTGTCCCACCTCCTGAACTGGAAATCCCAGAAGGAATGATTGTGGTAAGATTTTGTTATATTGGAAAATATCTACAGACTACAGTTTGATCTTATATCCAAGATCATCTAATGTATAGTCTTAAGATGCTATAACTCATTTTATTGACTAGATAACATCTTAAGGCTCCTGAGGAGTCGCATCATCCATCTCTTTTTTAATA